CACTTATATATGTCATCACCTCTGTGTGTGCACCTGTCCAGGGAGGCTGGCATTGTGTGCACAGGTGTTGATATGCAAAGGTCTTCACAACTGTGCTGAGCCTGTGAAGTCAGTGGGAGGAAAATCAGTGACTGTCCCCTCCCCTGGCTTGTTGATAGTAGATCCCCAGCCCTTTAGGCTGACTGCTACCATGTCCTGGGGATCTTTGCCTGTCTTGGTCTGGATGTCCCAGTTGGAGGGTTTCCTGGATTCTGAGAGCCTTTCTCTGATGTGCACATCCTACTCGGGTTCACAAGTGCAGACGGCAGGTTGGTGAAGGGTGTTTTTTCATCCTCATCCAATGTCTGAAAAAACGGAGGCTCAGAGATCTTCTATCATGCTACAAGTGATACCAGGCAGGTCTTGTCTCTAAAGACCTCACTCAGGACAGGTGAACTGATGAGCTATTGGGCTCACTGTGCTCTAACCATGGAAATGCCAGGTTCTCCTTGAGACTGAAACCTGTGTGTAGGGCCAAGAGAAGGCAGCCTAGAGGACTGAATTGTGGGATGCCTCAGGATTAGGGAGTGATGGAGGCCAATCCGGAAAGATCTGCAGTCCTACTTCTTCTTCCCTTAGAGTTCAACCACTATTGCAGGTGGGTGAATAACTGTGTGGGACACCGAAACATCCGGCTCTTCCTGCTACTCTTCCTGTGCCTGTGCCTCTACCTGGGTGCCATGCTGACCACCTACAAGGTTTTCATCATGCACAGGAGGCACATGGCATTTCTGGACTATACTATGACGTATCCACACAGTCCCAAGGGCCCACCCTAAGAAGAGCTGCTTCTGGTGGGGAGGGAGGGGCAAACAGCCAAGAAGGGACAGAGGATACCAAGGGAAGGGCTAGAGGGAGAAGTCACTTGGGAGGACATGTGGAGGAGATGTGGAAGTCCAGTGGGGTCAGTGACATGGGCTGGGTTGGATGCCTGTGAAGTTAAGAATCTAGGGGGGCCACAGAATAGGGTAATGAAATTTGAAAAGGGACATGTAGGCAGACAGTTTGATGGAGTGAGGTTTCACTTGGGTGTACTGGACTAACTGTCCAGTCCAGGAAGGGAGAGTGTTTGGGCGGTGCTAGCTGGGGTGGGAGGAGTGAGGGAGGTGTTTGGTAGAAAAGCGGGGCCAGGGAAGAGCTATTCCATGGTTTCACTTTTTAATCTGTTCACAGCATCCTAGAGGCTGTACCTGATGGGGCCCTCCTACTACCCCTCATCCTGTAGTTGTTCATCAAGGGAGTGGTCGTGGGCACTGCCAGGCGACCCTACAAGGAACAGGTAATTGGTCTGTGTGTGCGTGTCCCTGACTGTGTGGAGGCATCTTGCACCTCTGCAATTAGGCACTTTGTCTGCTTTCTCCACTGCCCTTTGCCCTGATGTTGCTTCATGAGTTTTTCCAGACACACCTCTGAAGATCCAACTCAGATATCTCTATACCCTGGAGCTTGGTGGCCATTCTCCCTCCTGGGTGCATTGCATTGAAGCCTACTGTGTGCTAGGTGGCAGTTATTTGAGAGATGGGTGTAGAGATGAGTAATTATGTCATGCACTTTTTTTGATCAGTAACCGGCAATCAGAATAACACCGGGAGACACCCACGAACACTGTGAAAATAGGGGTCAGTCCTGAGTGGTGTAACAGGCTGGAAGAGACTGAGAGTTTGACGAAGCCAACGTTGTAGAGTAAACATGCCACAATGTGTCCTGAATGCTTTTGGAGAGGAGATAGGAGGGCATTGACTGTGAGAGGTACAATTTTTCAAAAAGGCCCAGAAAACTGAAAGTAGGGTATTAACAGAATGATGAAGAAACGGATCTAGTTCAAGCACAAGGTGGCATGACATTGACCCCAAGGGGGTCAAGATTAAAAAGACCCAGAACCTCAAGTGT